CAGCCCGGAGCCCCGGCGCGGCGGGAACGGCACCGCCCAGGCCGCGAGGTAGGACCGTCCAGGGCCCGCGTAGCCACTCCTGTGGGGAGGGGGTGCTGGATGGATTCCCTTGCCCCACCCGCCAGCACCTTTGGCCTGGCGGGGTACAGTGGTCCGGCTGGGGGAGCGACACAGGGCGGAGCCTCCTGGCGTAGGGCGATGGAGGAGTCCCGGCCGGGGTCCTGGCACCTCCGTCTGTCTGTGGCTTTTTATAATACCCCCTCCCCTGTCACGGGCCGTGTGAGAAATAACCCTTTCAGACTAGTGGACATCAGTCACCAAATGCCATTTGGCCCATAGTGCCCAAAGACTTACTCGTTTCTTTCAATCCTCACCCCAAACGCAACTGGAGATGGAAGCCTCCAGTTGCTGTATCTGCTGTGTAGCAGATACTTGGTGCAAGGTTGGGCATCTGCCAGCTCGGAGTTAAGAGTCTGTTCAGGCAGCTTTTTCTCTGCTGTCTGGAGCCTGGGAAGGGGGAGAAGGGGCAGGGTCTACTATCCCAGACCAGCAGGAGGGCCTTGACTGGCCAGCAGCCCTAGAAGGGAGGCCTTCCCACATCCATCCACACTGTCAGCTTACCACTGGTTAGGGGGAAGGAACCTGTGGCTGAGAGATCTGGGGCAAGTAGGAAGTATTTCTGCCCCAGGTTAGACTCTAACCCTGGACTTTCCCAGCGTACCACGAGGTGGAGGTGCAAATACACACACCTGACACCCCTTCACTGTCACAGATGGCACAAAGCGGAGCAGTCCTACACATACACTCACCTGTACTGTCAAACACACCTAAAGGTAGGTACAAAGACAGACAGACACACACTAATTCATGCCTGTGCAGTGTCACAGACACTCCCAACCACAGCCTTAATGGACAGAGTTGGTAGCTTCTGGAGTCCTCTAGGGACAAGGGACAGAGTGGCAGAGGCAGGCTGCTTGGGTCCCAAGGAAGCCTAATGTCAGGGCCCCCCAGCTGAGCTGACTGTCTTGTCCCTGGGCCTCCCTACTTTTCCCCCAGCTCCTTAGAGAGAGGCAGCTGTGTGAGGGCAGCATCTAGTAGAGGCCTGGCACTGTGGGTGAGTTGACTGAGGCAACATGGTGTGTGATAACAGCACCACCTGGAAGTCAGGAGGCCGGGGTTCTACTTCCAGTTTTGCCATTTGACCCTGGGCAAGTTTCCTCCTTGGATCTTAGTCGGTTTCTGCCTGCCTGCCTGCCTGCCTGCCTTCTACAGAGCCCTACCCTGGGATAGAGAGAGAATGAGAACTATATTTGTCCTTAGGAAATTGACTGTCAGGGGAGACAGACACATGCACTGCTATAATGCAAAGCACTGCGTGCAAAGATGAACTGCATACAGAGTGCCTTGAGAATGCAAGAATGGGAGTTGTCTGGGAAATACTTCACAGAGGAGATAGACTTTTTGCAGGGCTTAAAGGATGGGTAGAAATTTCTTAGGTGAATGGATATAAATACATTTTGAATGCTATGTGCCAAGCTCTAGTATACCTGCCCTTGTTGTTTTACCTTTTAGACCTCATGCCTATTCCGAGGTCAAAAGGAACTCTGGCTCAGGAGCGGAACCTTGAGTGAATTTACTCTGTGCTTTTGTTTCCTTGTCTATAAAATGGGGATAATAGATGAGCATCATATAAATGAGTATTCATGTAAAATGCTTAGAATACTGTCTTGAACAGTTATGTCATTCCAGGGCGGGGAACACACAGCAGGGGCGTGATGGGAGGGCTGTCTGCTGGGAAAGCAAGGACTCTGTTGAGAGTCAGGGTGGGTCTGGCTGGCTGAGCAGGTGCATCCTTCCTGGCACTAGGAGTTCTACTTTTCCAGGACTATTCTCTAGTCAGGTGGTATACAATGTATTTTCTCAGCTGAATTCTTTAGTGGTTGTGGGCTTGTCCAGCATCCGGTCAGCTGTGGGGGAGTAATGTGAAAAGGTATGTTAGGGCCACATCTTTAAGGGCCTTGAATCTCTGCTAAGCAGTTGGCTATCTGTGGGTGAAGAGGAGTGACATGGTTTGCTTTATGTTGTAGCAAGCTGTGGCATTGTAGAGCAAAGACTGGGATGAGAAGGAAGAAGGCCTGGTTGGAAGGCTGGTACAAAAGTGCAGGTGAGAGCCAGTGACTTGGACTAGGGCCCTGGCAGTGGATGAAGAAGGGGGTGGGGATGGGAGACTTTTGGAGATAGAAGGGTGAGTTCTCAGTTGGCTCTACAGGGGAGGGAAAAAGCTATTTAAAGATTTCTTGCCTCTGAGCTGGAGGATATAGGTGCAGCAAGCTCAGGGAGAATAATAATTTGGGAGCAGTTGAGTTTGAGGTGCCAGGTACCATCTGGTGAAGATATTTAAGAAACACTTCCTCTCTGATGAAGTGATGTGAATGGAATAGGTGACTGTTGAGGTTGTCTTCAGACTCTAGGTTTTGGTGTGGGCGCTGGGTTAAATGAGGCCAGTGGTGGCTGGGGCCTGGTGAAACCATACTTTTGTAGTCTCCAGAAGGCCAACATGAGAAAACAGAAAGGGGAGCCAGAAAGTCCCAGGGTGTTAGAGAGAAGGACCGAGTACACGATGATTTAGAGTAAAAATAACCTTTGTTGGGAACTTGGAGTTAAGATATAGAGCTTAAAACTTGGGTACAAGCAGCCCTTTTTAAGACAGATCAATCAACTTCTTTGATACGTGGGACTTTTCATTTATACTTTATATCTAAAAAAAGCTTCTTGAAAGCTATACTCAAATTTAGTCTGTTTTATAACTGGAACACCCTGAATATATGAATTTCCTTGAACAAATCACTTAATCTCTTTTAACCTCAGTTTCCTGTTCTGTAAAATGGGGATGATAAATGTAACTACCTCACAGAGTTGTTATGAATTGCTACGTGTAACGCATTTAGAACAGGGCCTTGCACATATAGGACCTTTATAAGTATAATAGTTATTATTATTTCCATGGTATTTTGTATTATCAAAGAATTGCTCAGAGATTTAAGGTAGGTAAGATGTATTTGAAACAGAAAAGACCAAAGCCTCTTGAAGGCCAAGGAAGCAGGGGCATATTCCTTAACAGGAACTGATTTAAGCCAGCAGGGAACGGGCAGCTGGGTTAAGGGACTTATCTGTCAGAATCACAGAATCTGAATTCAAGAACCTTTACAGGCTAGAAGGACAGGTCAATTCTAATAAGATAAATGAAGTTTTACAGGAACAAGAGATGTGGTTTAAAAACACTTGGTGTGAAAAAGCCTTAAGGATTTTAGTCAAACTCAGTATTCGTCAAGAACATGCTAAGGGAATCTTGGCTGCATTGATAAGAGTATAATGTACAGAGAGTCACTGCTCAGAGCACACCTGGGTTTTGCTTCCAATACCCATCCCCAAGGGACAGTGACAATTTGGAGCCTGGTCAGGAAGAAGTGATTCAAACGAGAAGGGCACTAGAAACTGTGACATGCATGGAATAATTGAAAGATAACTTAGCTCTCTGTAAGTGTTTAAAGAATTTATATAGCAAAGAAGTTAGATTTGTCTGATTCTAGAAAGAAAAATCAAGTCCAGGTAAAAATTGCAGGAAAGAAGGTTTTACCTCAACATTAGAATTTTCTTATGATAGTGGAACAAATAGCGGTGGCTCAGGTGTGAGTTTCCTGTCCTTGACGGTATATAAGCAGAGACCAGACATTGACATCCTGGGGATGTTGTCAGGGGATCGAAGCGCTAGGCTGTGTGGGGAGAGATCAGTAGAGGAAAGGGAGCAGACAAGTGCCCTCTGAGATGTGAGAACTTGATATAGTCTAGGCCCGTGAATGATGGCTCCAGTCACAAACCATCCTGGGATTGTGGCTGCTCTCTCACTTTAGGTCATTTCTCTTGCAGAGAAACAAGAGCAGAGGCCAATTCTCCTTTTCAAGAGGAGGAGCACTCTGGATCCCTGGGTGAGGTGGGGACCTTGAACCCTGAAGTTACTCTATCTTTGGAGGGGACCTTGGACTTAGAGGACATTCTCTACCTGGGGGACACAGGGGACTTTGATGACACACTGTATATGGAAGAGATTGAGAAGCCTGAGGAGATGCTGTATATTGAGGAGACCAGGCAGCCAGATGAGGCTCTGTACGTAGAAGAGCCTGTGAAGCCAGAGGAGACACTGTGTGTGCAAGAGCCTGTGAAGCCATTGGAGACACTGTGTGTGCAAGAGCCTGTGAAGCCAGAGGAGACACTGTGTGTGCAAGAGCCTGTGAAGCCAGAGACACTGTATGTACAAGAGCCTATGAAGCCAGAACAGGCCATAAACCCAGATCAGATGGTCTATGGGGGTGAGACTGTCACGACCGAGGAGAAACCTAACCCTGAGGAGAGCCTCAGAGCTGGGCCTAGTCCCAGCACAGAGAGCCTGAGCATAGAGGACCTGGAATTGCTTGAGGGGCGTTTCCAGCAATGTGTCCAAGCTGTGGCCCAGCTGGAAGAGGAGAGGGATCAGCTCATCCATGAGCTTGTGTTGCTTCGGGAACCAGCCCTACAGGAGGTACAACAAGTACATCAGGACATCCTGGCTGCCTACAAACTACAGGCCCAAGCAGAGCTGGAGAGGGATGGGATAAGGGAGGAGATCCGGCTGGTCAAGCAGAAGCTGTTCAAGGTGACAAAGGAATGCGTGGCGTACCAATACCAGCTGGAATGCCGCCGGCAGGACGTGGCCCAGTTTGCCGATTTCCGGGAAGTGCTGACTGCACGGGCAGCCCAGCTCTCCGAGGAACGGGCCCAGCTCCGGGATGCCTATCAGAAGCAGAAGGAACAGTTACGGCAACAACTAGAAGCACCTCCAAGCCAGAGGGATGGACACTTTCTGCAGGAGAGCCGGCGGCTTTCTGCCCAATTTGAGAACCTCATGGCAGAGAGCCGCCAGGGCCTGGAGGAGGAGTATGAGCCTCAGCTGCTGCGGCTCCTAGAGAGGAAAGAAGCCGCTGCCAAAGGTCTACAGAAAACCCAGGCCGAGATCCAAGAGATGAAGGAGGCTCTGAGACCCCTGCAAACAGAGGCCCAGCAGCTCCACCTGCAAAACAGGAACCTGGAGGACCAGATCACACTTGTGAGGCAAAAACGAGATGAGGAGGTGCAGCAGTACAGGGTAGGCCCACTGGGCATGAAAGGAAGTGTGGTCTTTTAGCCTGGGGAAGGTAGAGGTCACCAGAGTCAAATGTCTTTTGGGCTGAAGGATACTGTCATACATAGGAAGAACGACTTATTCTTTGAGGCCGTTCGCTTCTTTACTCCATTCTTCATTTCATTCATACAGGCCTGAGCTAGGGACTGAACATTATCTGCACTCTTAATTTATACTTTTACACAATTATCTCATTTGATCCTCTCATTAATCCTCTAAGTCAAGTATTATCCTTTTTTTTTTTTTTAAATAGAGGAGGAAACTGAAGCTAATGAGCCAGAGTAATTTGAACTTGGCGTGACCAACCTCAAGTATGTCAGTGCTCTGTCCATGTCACAATTTTCGAATTCTAAGTGAGTCACACCTGGGCTTATAGAGAGCAGATGGGAATGAGTCTAGGTAGAATTCACTCATCCTTCCCCCTCCCCCTACATTCATCCTTAAGTCCCACCTATCTGGTTTGCCTTGAAGTTTTCCAGTCTTAAAACTGGGATCAAATCTATAAATCTCTATTCCTCATTTTCCTTTTTTGTGCATTTGTCACCATTTAACTTGTATTCAAGTTACTTCTAATGAAGTATGAACCAGTTTTAATCCTTTGTAGAACAGTGGGATATAAATATTAAGTGAATAAACAATGTCTCTCCCACAGGCTGAGAGCTTTCAGAAGGTAGGGAGTGTTTTACTTCTCTCCGTCATTCTGGCTCAGAGTACACATCAGTTAAATGCTGACTTAAGTGTTGCTGGCCACTATGAGATTAGTGTGTGATGCCTTTCAGAGCTGTATTTTTGTCCTTTGAATCACGTGTTCCTTTGAATAAACTTAAAAATTGTATGCCCTCCCAGAGATTGATACATCCTTAAGGGAACATGTCCTATATTGAAAATGGCTTCACTTCATTCAAAATTTTGTCAAGCTTTCTGTAGCTTGTATTATGAAAACAGTAGGGTTTTTTTGGGGGTCATGATACTGAATGTTTTCAAACTATACATATGTATACTATCTTTACCCCCATTCCCAATTGCTCTTTTTATTGGTTCACAGTCTGGTGAAAGGACACTTTTTTTCATAAATACTATCCTTAATAGTTTACACGCAAACAGACATTACATTAATAATTGTAACCCAGGGTAGGAAGTAGCATGTGATTTAAGAGAGGTGCAGATAAGAGTACTATGGGGTAACGAGATTATTTTTAGCCATGGGTTAAACCAAGAGAACTCTTGATGAATGAAGAGGTTATGTGAGCTAGGTATTGAAATACAGGTAAGATCTAGACCCATGATGTCCAAAATATAATGCAAGCCACATATATAATTAAAAATTTTCTAATAGCCACATTAAAAAAGTAAACCGATGAAGGTAATTTTAATATTTAGCCCAACATATCCAAAATATAATCAGTAGCTTGGCTGCATGTGAAAGGTGAAGAACTGAAAGGTAAGTTGAACTGTAAAGGTAGGTTGGGACAGATCACATTGGACTTTGAAACCCAAACTGGGGAGTTTGACTTTATTCAGTAATCAGTTGCTTCATTAAAGGTATTTAATCAAGGGAGTAACATGATTGTCCCTCTACATTTAGAAAAAGTACTGGTGGCAATGTGTAAAACTGGCTACAGATCTAGAGGTGAGGTAGACTAATTAGGAAGCTACTATAGGTAAGAAGAAACAATGATAGAGGGAATAAAAGGAAGAACAAACGCAGAATACATTTGGCCATTCAGTGAATGGGGCAGAGAGGTGAGGAGTTAAAGAGGATCCTGAGATTTCAGGCAAGACTAACTAGGATGGTGGTGCCATGAATAGGCAATTCTCTAGATTTGCTTTCTGACACAGTACTAGAGTGCAGATTTTCTCTCCCTTGTGATTTCCGTAACTCTACTGGTTTTTCAGACTCGACAATTGTACAGCTTTCCAAAATCATTCTATGAAAAACTCTTGATGAGTATTTCCTATTGCTACACCATAATTAAAGTAGGAATCAAGATCTGAGGAACTAATTTTTTTCTAAAATGTCTTCCTAAACTGTGTTTGCCAAAGGTCACTAATGGCCCCCGATTACTTTTCAAAGGTACACTTCACTCTTACAATTATAAACTTTGCCTATTTCATCACTGTCATCTATTCATTCAACAGGTCTTTTCTAAGTGCCTACTTACTATATTCCAGGTAGTAAGCTATGTGCTGGCAAAAGAGATGAAAAATGGGAAGGGTGAGAGGGAGAGGAGAGTTTCTGCCCTCGAACAGTTTTTAGTCCAGGAAGGATGCCAGATAAAATGAATATTTCATAAAATTTAAGACACTTGATTTCAAGATGCATCTTGATCTGTTAGAATGTGAAAGCCTTCAAATCGATGAAATATACTTCAGTGTGAGAAACATTGTTAACAGTTGTAGGAATAAGGCGTTGTACCGACGACGCAGGTTTAATTGCCTGACTGGGAAATAAGGGGGAAATTTCATAAGAGAATTAATAGCTAGCATGTTCTTGAAGTTCTTTACATGTAATAACTCATAATCCCTACCTCTCTGAGGTAGGTACGAACTAGTGTCATCATTTGAAAAATGAGAAAAGAGGTGAGACTGTCCTTGGTCCAGGATTACACAGCTAGGGAGTGATGGAAGTGATATAACCCTGCGAAATCTAGCTTGAGTCCACATTCAACCATTACAAGTGAGCTGAGCCTTGAATTAATTCACTGGGCAGACAAGGGAAAGACATTCTAAGCAGAGGGAACAGCTTATACAAAAGCATGTAAACACAAAGACACGGTAAGTAAATAGAGCGATAAGGCTAGAGAGGTAGATGAGGACCAGATTGTAAAGGGCTTTATGGTTTTCAAAAACAGGTTTTCTCCAGAGCCAAAAACCCTTTTCTCAAAAAAGAATTTTATATGTAATGCCAATATATAACAGGTAAAAGTGGAACTATTGTCAGAGTGGCAGTGGCACTCCATTTTGACTTTCTCCTGGGGTTTCACAGGAAAGTTTAAAGATCTCTGAAGAGTGTACACACACACACACACACACACAGGGAGAGAGCGAGCAAAATAGCAGTTAAGAGTATGAGCTCTAATCCTGACTCAACCACTTCCTAACTGGGAAACTGAACAAATTACCGAACCTCTATGGCTCTGCTCCCTCACGTGTAATACAATCATAGGGCCATTGCCTCCATAGGAAAGTTAGGTTCTCGTTAGAGGTAGGGGTCAAATTAAAGAGGCTGTGAATGCTAAAGGGGAGTCTTGAAAGATTGAAATAAAGGTTTTTGAAAGTTAGTCTAGTGGTGCTACATAGAATTATGACTGAAGATTGTCTTTAATGCCAACCATTGTAGCAATACAACCTTCATTCTGTGACACTGCTCGACTGAAGATTGTCTTTAATGCCAATTGTAGCAATACAACCTTCATTCTGTGACACTGCTCCTGTCAGAGTGCTGGTGAAGACTGCGTTTCCAAGCACATCTTTTGCACCTCACCAAAATAACAGGTTTGCTAGTGGGGTTTGGGAAATTGGAGCACAGAGGTATGCAGGTGCTTCCCTTCAGATGACATGCTCTTATGATAGCAAGGCTGCATCTCTGTGTGGTGCCAAAGCAGAGCTAAAAAAAGGCCTTTTGACAATGTTTATGTAAGTTGAGATTCAGCCAAAATATCAAACATTGCAGATTGATGTGCCACAGGTATATCAAGGATGACTCAGAGAACAAATTATTTAGATCCTTCTAATAATAGAATGTACCCAAACTGGATTCCTCTACTATTCTTCAAAATTTGAGGTGAAGTCATTGTTCCTTTAAAATATGCTTTCCAACTTCAATTCTCTTTCCCAACTCCTTCCTGCTTCCAAAGGATCCAGCCAGCTAGCAACTAAGCCTGAGACTGATTTGCTGACATCGTCCTTACCTCATTCCTCAGGCATTAATCCTAGGTAGAGTTTACAGAATGCATCCTACCTGGTTTTGGCAGAACAGGAAATGGACAATTATCTGAAAGCTCATGAGGGCCTCCAGGGCATAGCTTCTAACAACTTAACATTTTTGAACAAATTCAGTCTTAAACAAATTTGCACAGAGGTCTATAAAATTCCCACCATACCAATGTGAGGATCAAAATCCTCCCCAACACTTCTTAAAATTGTAAAACCAAAAAGTCCCTGTGAGTACCTGTCCACCCCTTGCAGTACTCTATCAAGAAATAACAGACAAAACTTTCAGGTCACCATTTTAGAAAGGAATGACACTTTGACAAAACACCACCTCTTGAATTTGTTCCTCAAGAAAGTGCTTTGTAAATTATAATGGACAATGTAATATTTTTATTGTTTGGCTCATTAGAAATGTTCCTGGCTTTCTCATGCAGGAACAACTAGAGGAAATGGAAGAACGGAAGAGGCAGTTAAGAAGTGGGGTGCAACTCCAGCAACAGAAAAACAAAGAGATGGAGCAGCTACGTATCAGCCTTGCTGAAGAGCTCTCAACTTATAAGTCAGTTTTTGCTGCTACCCAAATCCCAACTAACACTGGCTGAGGGGATGGTGGGGAGGGCAGATGTTGCTCTGGGGAAATTTTACTTAACAGTGAAAAAAGCCTTTCTTTTTTTTAAAGGGCTATGCTACCCAAGAGCCTGGAACAGGCTCCCACTTCTCAGGCAGGTGGAATCGAGACACAGTCTCAAGGTGATCCTTGTGGGTACACGAGTGATGTTTGCATTATTGCTGCTTTCTTAACAGTACTAATCCCTTAAACGAATTAAATGTGTCTAAAGACAAAGAAGTCATTTAGGGATAATACATACCTCCAACTTGCCTGGTTCAAGTATTCAGGGTTCATTTGGAATGTTTCAGTTTCTGGTAGACTCAAAATATGCCCCAGTTATCTCCAGGAATTGTGTAACAGGATAAAATATCTAAGCTCTGTGCATTCTCACTTTCCTCCCACTACCTTACCCCATCTGCTGCTATTCATAGTTTCCTTAGAATAGCCAAGAAGGCAAGTTATGCTGTCTAATTCAGACTATGACCTAAAGAGGCAAAGAAGGCTAATTTAATCTGTTAACAGCAATTACAGCAATTTAAAAAAAGCCAAAGAGGGTGTTGTTTACAGGTTGAGGAACAGGATTACTGCTTAAAATGGGAAACACAAGCAACTCACTTATTTATTTTCTTTACCAATATATTCTCATATTGGTAAATATGAGAATATTTACCAATATTCTAGATTCTCTTGGATAAAGTTCTAGATTCTCTTGGATAAGAGAGAAGTTCTAGATTCTCTTGGATAAAGCAACTAAGGTTAAAAAAGGTCTCTGTCAAGTTGTATACTAGATAGGTGCCCATAAATTTTTCTTAATTACCTAATCTTACATCTTAGATACAAATTCACAAATAACTATTGTAACTGACACTTTCCCCAACATACCAGGATTTTCTTTTACTGTGTTTTATCCAAGAATAACTGATTATGATTATTGTTTGGGAGATTACTAGACTCTTGTAATTGAGGGAAATGATCTGGTAAATACCTTTGTATGGATCAGATTAAAAGTACAATAGAGAAAAGGCAATGATTAGTTCAAAGAAACCAAACTACAGAATTTCAGGCACTGTAATACCTGTGAAAACTTAATCTGGACACAGAAAAATTTTAGCTAACCCCTCCCATCACCATCACATAGGTTACCATTCATTCTCTTTTGCAAATGGGAGGCACCCAAATACTTTCTAAGGGAGTCAGCCCAATCACATGTGAATCAGTTTAGCACCCTCTCCCCAACACAGCCTGCATTAAACTTCAGAAGTTGTTATAAATGGTATACTGTATTATAAATTGTGAAAGTATAAATTCTTTTTTCTCTCAACCTTACAGGGGCTGTCTAGAAGTGTACGGCCGAATCTATAACCCAGAAACAACCAAAGAAACTTCTTAGCAAGGATCACTAAGTGCCCTTTGGACATACTTTTTTTTTTCAGAGAAAGGAGTGCCAGCGGTTTGGCAAGCAATTTGCCCTGAGAAAGTTACAAATACTGGCTGACCTGTTTAAAAAGATTTTAGGGCTGGCTGGAGGCAGAACACCATCAGTCCCTTAGCTGGATTCTGTTTCATAGGCTGCTGGTACTCATTTCAATGTACGGAGGAATGAAAAAATAACCCTCACATGCACACCGAGTAAAGGATGAATGTATGGACACACCTTGCAGTGATCTGAAGAATGTATCTTGCCTTGCGTTGACCTACACTAAAGACATTTTGTTGGAGCACAGGTGGGGGTCAAAAAGGCAGGCAATTTTCATTGTATGGGTTTACAATTTGAATTCTTTTGTGCAACAAGTATTGGACTTTAAATGAATCTTCTTACAACATTTACTTTTCTTTAAGTCTATTCTGACTCATACAGTTTACTCTTGTATCAAGATAACTTTCACTATCCTCTAAAAAGAACTAATCCAGATTTGAACCTAAAGGTTAAGAATATTGATTTCCCTAAAGATCATATCCCATGAAAATGATTTTGGATCAGTGATCTGTACTGTTAAACTGAGTGATTGGCAAAGAACCAGGCATTTTATCTGGTTATGGCACTTGGTGATAAAGGCTTTCAAGAGCCTATAATGTCTAACCTCTAAGTATAAGCCCCAGTGAAAAACATAGTGGGGAGATTCAACCTCTGAGAAAAGGTTCAAATAGCTTTTTCGAATTTAAATTTTGCCTTAAAATTTCTCTGGCATACTGCCTTTGACATTCTTACGTATCTCTCTAGGAACAGACTTCAAAAAGAAATTATTTTATCAAAGAGTAATCTGCGCAACTCTGATTCAGTGTTTTATGTCTTTCACTTTCCCTGGAAAGGAACAAAGCTCTTTTCTACGGCTCTGATTCTATTATATTTAATTCTGCTCTTGATAGTCAAAGACCATAACCAATAACTATTATCTGAAGAATTCTTCTAGAAGTGAGAGACTGGTATTTGATAGATGTTATATACTAAATAAAACCCATCAGCATGGGGTTATGTAGAAAAGCAATTTATTCCATTATAAGCACTTATACAGTTAGTCAGAAAGTAACAGGCCTGCTGGTGAAACAGGTCACCCAAAACAGAGATGGTATCAAACTAGTGGTCAAGGACTAACTTCTAAAAAAAAGCAACTCTTATCCAGGATTAATTTAATTTTAAAAACAAATACAAGCTATCAATTCACTCTTTCTCAACTTAACTGGACAGTCTACCTGTGGTACAACTGTCAGGTAAAAACATACATCTTTACAACTTGGTGGTCCCAAGTTCTTTTAAAAAACCATTTCACAGAAAGGAAAGAAATAATATGAAAACAGCTCAAGAAATACACTAACAAGCAAAAATATATGGGGAAAGAGGAACACGTAGTTTTGACTTAAGAAACTGAGAGGAGACTGGTCTACATAGGAAAATGTGCATCCTGGAAAGTCAGGTGTGAAGATTTTAGAGTAGGAATTTATATGACTTGAATCTCCCCTATTTCCTGAATAAAAATGACATCTTGCAGTACGTTTACTTCATGGCTCAGACACACCTACCTTACTTGGCTCTATTCCTTAGTTACTTCTAGCCTTTAATTAAATGAGTCTGAAAAAGTTGGGGATATAGCATAAGAAGAAAAATAAAATAACCACACACAATATTCCCCTTTCGGTGGCTACTTTAGATCTTTGTTACTAGAAAATTCCTGAAGAAAATTTAAATATAAGTCTGTAGCTTTGCTGAATCAAGTCCCCCAGTTAATATTTAGAAAATACCCTTGGTTTGGACTAATAGCATTGCTGATGGTACCTATTATAGAGGGATAGCTGAACAAAGTCTGTGTCTCAAAACCAGTGTTAAATCAATCTCAGGGTTGAGAGGAAAAAAAGGGGAGTCTACAATCACAAGAAGTGCAGACATATCTAAGACCCCTGTCCTTCAGGATCCACGCTTCCTTCAGGGTCTTCATCGTTATAAATGTTCTCTGCCTGCCGAAGAACAAGAAAAAAAGAGTATTTAGTAAACAAAAAAAGCAAGTTCTTGAAGTTAAATTTTCAAAAATAGATTAGGCCAGGGAGACAATTTATGGGCCATATAGTCTCTGTTGCAACTATTCAACTCTGCAGCTGCTGGATGAAAGCTGCAAGACAATCTGCAAGTGAATGGGAACAGCTGTGTTCCAATAAAAACAGGCCAACACTTTTTATTTTTCTTCTTATGCTATATCTGAAGTATTGTTACTGTTTGTCTTGATAATCAACCTTCTTGAGAACTTTAGTCAGACATTCATGTCAAAAAGTTAAAAACACCACAAATGTCCACTGACTGATGGATGAGTGAATAAATAAAATGATATAGCCATACAATGGAATATTATTAGGCAATAAAAAAGAAGCCAGTCAGCTACTGTATGATTTTATTTATATTAAATTTCTAGAATAGGCAAATTCATAGAGAAAGCAGACGGATGCCTGCCTAGTACTGGGTAGACTGGAGGAAAATGGGGAGTGATGGCTAATAGGTATGGGTTGTTATGGGATGGGATTTCTTTTGGCATAACTGATTGTGGTGATGGTTGCACAATTCTGTGACTGTACTAAAAATCACTACATTGTGCATTAAAAGAGAGAGAAACCCCACTCCCCACCAAAACCACGTTCCACATCTCAATTTATATTTTAAAAAGAAAAATGCTCTTGCACACCACTTCTATTTCTGATGAAATACCTGTTTCCAAAGGCATAATGTTAAATACAGAAACCATCTTCATTTGGGCAAAATTTACTTTTCTTAGAATCTACTATGCACAAATTACTAGGCTAAGCACTACAGAGGATGGGATAAGCTTGTCTTCAAAGAGCTGTGATCTGACTTCAAGGAAATATACACTATTGTGTATTTTCTAACAAAGAATGTGTAGTGTCTTTTTCCCTGACAGTAAATATATGTCCAAAAATTCAATTTAATCCCAACACTACCTAAAGGTAGCATAAAATTCTACAGGTCTAAGGGATGTGATTAAAGGCTCGGTCCCACAAGACTACCCTCACTTCAGAGGCCAGTGATGAGCTCTGAGTGCCTAGGCTACCTGGGTACTTCTGTTCGACTTGTCATCTATAAATCTGGGGGGGTTCCCACAACCCCCCTACTCAGGTTTGATAATTTGCTGGAATGACTCACCGAACTCAGGCAAATGCTTTACTATTACAGGTTGATTATAAAGGCTAGAACTCAGGAACTGCCAAATGGAAGAGATACATAGGGCAAGGTGGGGAGGGAGCACAACGAAACCTCATGTACTTTCTTGGTGGCATCAATATATTCACCAACCTGAAAGCTCATCAAATCAAGAGCTTTTTATAGAGCTTTTCCTAGAGCTCAATCTCTGCTGTCTGTGGGTGAGTGGAAGTAAAAGTTCCAATTCTCTAAACAAGTGTTTGGTCTCTCTTGAGACCAGCCCCATCCTGATGCTCTACCTAGGGGCTCCTTAAACACTTCCTTAGCCTAAGCTCAGGTGTGGCCAAAAGGGACTCCTTATAAATAGCAAGAGTCTTCTTGGAATAACTATGTATGGTGTTAGATGGGTACTAGACTTATTGGAATGATCATTTCACTCATAAATTATATAAATGTCTAATCACTAATATAATATTGCACGTTAACTGTAATTTAAAAAGTTATCTAAAGAAAAAAAAAAAACAAAACAAGAGACTCCCACCACTCAAGAAATCCTAAGAGTTCAGGAACTCTGTGACAGGAACCTGAACAAACACCACATATTTACTTTTTATACCACAACAATTCTTAACAAACAAACACCACCACTAAGTAAAACCTGGTCTGGGGGTTAATGCCTGGAAGGTGATGTAGTTCAATCTCCCACATTTCCATGGCAACTACTATATTACCTTTAATTGAGAGGTTATCAAAGGCAGCCCATTTCACCTTGTTAAAACTCTTGATTTTTTCTATTAATTTTTTGTAAGTATATTACAAAGAAAAGAGTGAGGTGGATTTTGTTTACATATATAACAAATCCTTGAAGAGTATACAGAGGAAATCAAGAACTCTCTAATTGTAGCAACCATATTTTGGCAACAGACTTCTAAATTATACTTACATATAATTAAACCTAAGACTAGATACTACATATAATTAAATCTAAGACTGATGTTAATGACATATTCCAACATGCTGTTCTGCAATCTGCTTTTCCCCTACTTAATAGATGTCATGAATGTCTTATAAAACTAAGCATAATTCTTTTTGATAAATATTATTCCAAAGTATAGATATTGTATATAATTTGTTAATCTCATAGGCCATAAATACGGTTTTCCTCATGTTGAGGCAAAAACTCTCTCCTAAAGTTTATCTCTGGCCGTAGGTCTACCCTGAGACACCAAAAGTTTCTTCTGACTTCTTTTCATTTATCAGGCTACCATCAATCAAAAGTTATGCAACTGCTTTTTAAAAAAAAATTGGTAAAAGACACATAGCATAAAATGTACCATCTTAACCATCTTTAAGTATGCAGTTCAGTGGCAACGTCCGTTCACCTTGTGCGCAACTATCACTACCACACATCTCCAGAATGTTCACAGATCATTTCAAAGGAATGACCATTTCTAGAGATTCAATGGCTAGCAAAGAGGGAGAAAAATTAGGAGGCTATGCAATAGTCCAGAAAGTGGTAATGAGAACCTGACCAAAAAATTAGGGTATGGAACAGAGACAGGAAAGATGGGTATGTATGTTGTATTTCTAAGTTATCAAAAAAAAAAAAAAAAAAAAAAGTATAGACAGAAGAAACATTGCAGAGATAGACAATATAAACTCTCATAACTAGACTTAGAGATAGACAGTGAAGAACTCTTTAAGTGTGGTGAGCTGGGGAAACGCTACAGCCATAAAGAAAACAGCAAAGTCAGGAGGAAAGGGAAGAAGTGGGTAAAGAAGTTCAGTTTTGTTGAGTTTGAGATACTAGTAGGATAACCAAATAAACAGTCAGTTGAAAATGATAATGTACAGACAAGTGCTAAAGTTAGACCAGGAGAAAACTGAACAGAGATACCGACCATATTCATGAAGTATATAAATATGAAGTGATAAACTTCATTTATTGAACCTCCCCAAAATGACTAAATACTTACCATTTGCCAAACTTGCATGATATTGTCTTCTGATACAGAACAGATCACCCAAGGTTCATTAGGATTCCAGGAGAAATCAGATATTTTGGCAGTGTGACCACCATGAATAAACTGAAGGAGAGAGAAAAACGAAGACATAAAAAGCAGAGAGAATACTAAATTACAGACTATTTCGACTGCTCAATGTTTGTAACATACCAACAATTCTGGTG